GTGGGGGTCAGCTTGTACATGGGGGCATCTTATTGATGGAAAAATATGGTACTTTCACACTGTGGTATCAACAACAAATAATGCAAGAAATACAAATCAGAATGAGAGCAAGGAAGAAGGAATGGAAATGTTTACTTATTCAAGCTAAATTAATCCAGAATACATAATTCTTTGTTCCATATCACCACCGTGGATATGGATTATTCTCAAGTTTCAACAAGTTTTCTTGTTATCCAACTTCATTTTGAGTTGGGAGAGCAAATCACCTCCCTAATAGATACAGTATTAGGATTTGTGCAACTGGTTTATTCTAACTTCTGTAATCATAGATACCACTGATCATTAATATTGTGCCTTTATACAATTATAGATCAATCTATTGATAATTTCTAGTTCCATCTAAATTCAATATAAACATTTTAGAGCATTAACAGAGGAGAAATGGGAAAATTTATAAGAGGCAGAAGAATGTTGTCATAAAATTACAAATAGAGGAACTGTGTACAGAAATGGATCAAAGCAAAACAAACAAGAAAATTCTTGGCTGCCAAAAAGGAGATGATGGGGTCACTGAGGTTTCTAAGGGTATGACTTGTTCTCTATAATCCAGAGAATTTACATTACAAAAAAGACAATGTAAGAGAGAACTGGACAAACCTGGGAAAACTAAGCTTAGCAACATTAGGAAAGATGTTTGTGATTGTGGATATACTACCCAAGTCCTGACAACTGAGAAATCCACCATACCTTGAAGAAAGGCCTTCTCTTATATATGAGCAATCGGATATGAGCATCAATAGTGAAAATTATTAATTATATATTTAGTTTAGTTGCACAAAACTTAGGTATTGGTCTTATGCCTGGGTTGTTCCATATCCCTCTCTACTGTACTCACTATGCAGCACAATCAGGGAAGCCTCTATAGGAGGATAAATTCAGACAAACTCTGTGCATAACAATTTTGATTACAATGGTATGCGTTCTTAACACTGTAATTATTCAGAAGTAAAATTACTTCCTGGAATGTTTTTCTATATCACTGTGTCAAGAATACCGTTTTCTGCTCTTGAATAACTCTGAAGAATGCAGGAGAATTGGCATGGTATTTTTTTTTTTTTTTTTTACTATGTGCCATCTTTAAAGGGTCTTGTAGGGAAATAAATGATCTTGTAGGCAGCTATTGTAGAATTTCATTCAATTGTGCTGATGGAAAACATTACAGTTGGCATTCCTTTCTGTAACTGCTTTACCCTAGTTCAAAAGCTGAACCTCATAAATTGTGTGCTCAGAACCATAAATGACAGGGAGAGCTTTATCATAGGTATGAAAAAGGAATTAGGAGATCCTGGTTCAGACACAGCAAACTATGATGGTGATAACGGAAAGGTTTTTCCAAATGCATGATTAATAGGATGAGCAGATTTTAAAAAGGGGGGGGGCTTTTCTAATTAAGAACATTTTGATGCTTGAGACAAGAAATACAAAAATATCATTCTTCATATGTGCAATACTGAGAATGAACTGAAATGTAAAATTTTATCAGAGAGCCAGCTATATGGTTGCCATAACTCTTATAAACTGCACCTGGTGCTTAGAGTACTATGGTTTCAAATTATGCCACTGCATTGAGGATATCATTCCTTTTAGTACAGAGCCGTATCAATTCCTGTGGTACAAAACTGTTTATGGTCAATTACAGATAAAAGCTATGTCTCTGTTGATGATTAAGTTCATCTCTGGACTTTACGTTTTTTTAGTTTTGAAGAATAAACTGACAATGACAAAGAAAAAGTACATGGACAGTAAATTTAATCAAGAGGAAAGGCATGATCCTATTCCACTCAACTAAGAGTGATTTAGCTCCTGGTGTTTAGCCTGACACTTTCAGCCCTGCCCAAACCTACCTCTGAAAAATATGCTGTCAAAACTACTGTTTTGAAATTTTGTCTAATTGGCCAGAGCCCTACTGGTAGCTCCTCAGAAGTGAGACCCACTGACTTCAACAAATCAATGCATAATATGCTGCTATAGCCATACTATCTGGTCCTTTTATGTGAAAGTGATCTCTACAAACTTAATTAACCAGTCCTGTTCCGGGTTAAACCTCATTCAAAGGTAACCTCTAAAAAAAGCAGGAATTCCTTTGAAAAATAGGTTTCTTCAGGTTGTATGCCCCAGAACTCAAGCGTTCAAGGAGAGGCTAAGAGAAAAAAATAAAGTTCACTCCAACACAGCCAATTTTCTCAAGTAAACTCTGACTCTTGATCATTTTTTTAAAAAAATTAACAGGTTTTGCAGCCTAAAAATTTTTGGAAACCTCTCCCTTAAAGAATATCCCAATCATAGCAATGGCACAATTCTTTTTGGGAGAAGTAACTGAAAGTTATAAAGAGCAATCTCTTGCCTTTTTGCAGACGATTGGCAAAAGGGGGAGAAAACAAAAAGAAAACATGCTGCTGATATTACTACAGCTGCAACTATATTCAAGTATTAGTGAGGATTAAAAGAAAGGAAAAGCAAGTTAGTTTCTAATGAATAAAAATCTGTAAGCATGAATACTTGCAAGACCTGAAGGGGGAAGGGGGAAGGGGGAACATCTCTTTCTCCCCCTGTTTTGTTCCTGAACAGAACAGAGCCTGAGGACAGACTCGGTAAAACTCAAAAGCTAACCCCGCTGTAGATGGGCCGCCCCAATCAGCCCAGATCGCGTCTGAATGTGTTAAGAGATGCCACCTGCGAAGACACCAGGGCTCTTTCCCTTTGCACCTGCTCAGCCAGTCACCCGCCTCTTCGAGTGCAAGGCAGGAGGCTGGCGTCCCCCGCTCCCCAGTCCCGCCAACCTGTAAAAGTAGTGGACGAGGAAGAGTCCCAGCAGAATCCGGTTGGGCCAGAAGCTGAGGCGGGCACCGCCGCTACAGAGCACGAGCAGCAAAGGGAAGAGAAAGGAAGGCGCTTCTTGCACCATCCAGGCCAAGGTGGCAGGAACCGGGCGGCCGCGAGAGGCTGAATAGTAGCGGCCATACGGTGCCGCGGCTCGGTGGAGGACAAGCGCCACAGCCACAATTAGGAAGACCACAATCCCGTAGCTCATAAGCTTCAGCAGCCGCTCCTCCTGCGGGCCGGAGACGCGCTGCCAGAAAGCTCTCGAGCACAGCAAGTTGCTCGCGAGCACCGCCGCCGACTCCATCGCCCCGAAGAGAAACCGCGTTGAAGAAAGCGCTGTCGCCGTCCGGCTTTTTACTCGGCACACCGGCCGCGCTGGAAGATAAGGACCAGCCGTCTCCGCCTCGACCTGTCCACGCAGGTCTAGCAAAGGCGTTCCGGGCGTGACTTAAGGACCGGCGGCGATCAGGAAGAGAGAGCCGGGGCGGGAGGGGGCGACCAGTAGCAGCGTCATAAAGGGAGCAAGACGTCGGGAAAACCCGGCTCACGGGGCGGAACGTATCTTCGGAACGTGACAAAGATAACGATCCAATCGGGGTCGGCCCAGGCCGTAAGAGTTTGATGCCCGCTTTCTTCCCGTTCCACTGGCAGAATCCCGCCGATGAATTGCTCGTGCCTCTTCCTCTGAGTTCTGCCGCATCTACAGAAAAGCAAGACCTCAACACCTCGCATTACCTTCTTGCTGTTGCTCAGGCTCTGTAAGAAGGGAAGATTTAGCCCACGGTGCTACCTAGAGGCAAACCTTGAGCAGCTGTCTCTTTCTGCTTGCTAATATTCTACATTATGAATACTGAATATTATCTAATATTCAGTAGTGCAGCCACTCACTGAAATCGCACCCACCTCACTCCCACTTTTCTTCGTCTGATAGGAAAGTAGTGCGGATTGCGTCCATCGATTGTCCCTACTACACAGCGGGAAAAGGGTCCCCTTTTATCCGGATGACCCTGCTAAATCCAGTCCTCCGGGCTTGTGTTGTCCAAAGGAAGAGGATGAGTGAGCAGGTAGCGTTTTGCAGAAGCAAAGAAAATGTTAGAACCTGAAGCCATTTGCACCTATCACTTGCTTAGTACTGCCTGGAGAGCAAAACAGGATAGGTGAGTGTGCAACATTAGCTTGCGGTTGCTTACTTGCTCACCATTTCTCTTTAAGATAGGAGATAGGTCTATACTTTCTACTTGGCTCATCACCTATGGTAAACCACACACTGCTTCCTTCCCACACTGCTTGTTTTCCTCACCCACCCATGTTTTTCAGCTTTGATTCAAAACTGTTGCTTTCCAACCTGAGCTGTCTTAAGCCTTCAATGGAGGTGGTCTCCACTGCTTCATTGTGATGTAGTGCAGCCACAGCTCTGATGGCTGCGGTGCCTGACGTGCCCCTCCTTGCCAATGGCCGGGTCACTGCCCTGTGTATCTTTCTTGGCTTCAGGGCTGCTATGTTTGCCACATTTATTTTATAATCTTGTAGTAATGATGGCACATTAAGTCAATGAGCTATCCTGACCCCAGGAGTTCGTGCTCCACTCCACCTTTACATGTCCTGGTGGGTACCCTTTTGGTTTCTGCCAAGGTGGGTGAAGCATTATTCCCAGCTCACAGTACTGCAAAGCTTCTCCTTCCCTCTGTAGTGCGAGATCCACAAGATAATGTCCCACAAAAATCAGCTAATGATCAGGGTGGTGTAATTTATGATTAAAGGTTCGCCTAAAAGTCAATCTCGATCCCATCATTGGAGGGGGAAATGACTAATTCCAGGATGATTGGAAGCAAACTATTTACATCTCCAGCACAAACAATGCATGACTATCACAGAATCTACATGTGTTAACCAATTATGTCTTGTAAATAGAGATAGTAAGCAAGTAGCACAATTCTGGGTCATGTCCTTTTTTTTTTTTTTTAATGCGTTCAAGTCAGTTTTTGACTCTGAGTGACTGCCTGCACAAGTCCCTGCAGCTTTCTTGGCACTGTTTTCGGAAGTGCTTTGCCATTGCCTCCTTCCTAGGGTTGAGAGAGGGTAACTGGCTCAAGGTCACCCAGCTGGCTTTGTGCAAGGCAGAACTAGAGCCCATGGTCTCCTTGTTTCTAGGCTGATGCCTTAACCACTACACCAAATTTGGTCTACATTTAATAACACTTTTTATTATTAACCTATAAAATCCTACTTCAATGAGCACAACGTTGGGACTCATCCAAGGGCACCGTAATGGATTATAAACTCTAATCATGAATTAAATTCTGCTGTTGAATGAATAATGGAGGAAAGGACTGCGGTCTCTCGATAAGAACAGGGAGAAGCTTAACAATACAGTTAAAAGTTTCTCATGAGAAAAGAATAAATCATCTTGAAAATTATGATATTGAATGCACCAAACATTCAGAGGTCTGCTGAAAAGGAATAACAATACCTACAGGGTTCTTCATAAAGGAACAATCTATGTTTTCTGAATATTCCGTACTATGCAGAGCTGGATCAATGTTTGAGGCAATATCGGAAAACATTTCTGTTAGATTTTCACATCAGCCAGAATATAAGTTAGAGATAGAAACTGCATATAATGTTGAATTCTAATTCCATTCACCACACAGACCCATCCCAGTAGTGACTCTATTCCTTAAAATCACTACTTATGATAATAAGTATGGTACACATGTATTATACCTTTAAGGAGAATGGTTAGTCAGCAGAGTCCTGTTAGAAAACTACCCTTTAATAAGTGTAATTCATTATACACTAATGGCATCCCTTTCAAGGATGGCCCTCACGGTTGTTATATTATGGGCCACAGTGGTAGGTTCATGTTACACCACTACAATGTGAGTTGCACTGGTTACCAGTGGGCTTCCAGGTGCTGATGCCAGGTCATCCATAAATCCCCATATGGCACAGGAATTGGACATTTGTGGGACCATGTGAGATACGTTATGGGCCACAATGGTATGCCCGTGTGGCATCATTATGATATGAACTGCACTGGTTACCAGTGGACTTCCAGGTGCAGTTGAAGATGCTAGTGCCAGGTCATCTATAAAGACTTAGCTGGCACAGGGCTTGGATATTTTTGGAACTGTCTGCTATCTAGGTCAATCCTACAAGTTCCAACAGGGTTGGCATGCTCTGGGTACCATCAAGTAATCAATGTCATTTGATGTGACTCTGGAGGCTATAGGGCAACCTATCAGGGAAATAGCACCCATAGATTGGAAAGGTGTTCAGACCCTTTTAGGAATGCTACAGGATCTAGCAAAAGAAATATCCAATAGGTGAATGCTGACAGGACCTCTTAGAAGTCTGCTTAAAAAAGATGCAGCTTGGTATTGGGAATCCCCACAGTAAAAGGCATTAGATATCTTAAAATTTAGCATAACTGCCATCCCAGTGCTGCATTATTTTGATAACATTGTACAGTTAGAAATATAAGATAATGCTTCCAAAGAGGGATAGTCCAATTTGACCATAAACCACTAGAACCCATTGATATAAAGCCAAGAGTGTTGGCTTTGTCAAGAATGTTGCTATGTTGATATGAAAGAGTAAGAGATTATTGTAGCAGGTATACTATCTAGAACAGCACCAAAGTCATATTTAGGAAAAGGAATGTACCATCAGATGAAGAGGTTATTCATAGTTATAACTACTGATTCAATACCAGAACATCAATTAAAGTGCCAGCAGTAATGTATTAGAGATGACCCAGTTTTGCAAGATTAAAACCTGTATCATCCTATAGGCTGGCCTAGATGCTGTAAGTTAATTAAATGTCTAAGCTTCAGCCATATTGGTGATTTGAAAATTAGTTGTGTATGGATAATGGGCTAGTATTTATGAGTTCTAAAATAATAGTCTCTTTAGATGCAAGGAAGGAAATGTTACAATTTCACCTGGTACTTCCAGGTATTCATCACTCAAAGGTATGTGCCAGATGTACTGGGCAGAAACGAACAAGCAGATTGAGCAATTTATAGTAAGTTCTCCACAGTGACAGTTGTTTCAGGATAGCAACGTGAGATATGTTCCTTCCTGAGATTCCTGGGATACCTTGGATGAAATAACTGCAGTTATTTTTGAGATAAAATGAGAGTGCTCATTTCTTCTTTTGATTAGTTATTATTCTAAGTATCAAGAAGTCCTGGACTGAGGGATAAATCTGTTGCCACAATTTGTTGTTATTCAGTCGTTAAGTCATGTCCGACTCTTCGTGACCCCATGAACCATATTGCG